GTTTTGTCTTATGGAGAGATTGAAGATGTGGGTCACAGGGACTGTGATGATATGAGCAGCCAGCCTTAAGAAATAAGGTGGAAGTTCATCAGGACCTGCAGATTTTTTAGGGTCAAGATCTTTTAACGGTTTATTGACCTCACTGACTGAGAACGGAGAAAAAGAGAAGGTGTGATTAACTGAGGATTGACTTGTAGGAGGGATTTGATTTGTAGAAGTTTGGTTATTAAGTGAAGTGGCTGATTTTCCATAAATAACTGTGTGAAATAAAGAACCAGAAGCAACAAAATGTTTGTTGAAACTGTTCAGGATCTCGTGCTTATTTGACACAGGAACCGAGTTAACGAGAAGTTGTGATGGGAGGTCAGATGATGGGGCCTGCCTGAGAGAGATTTGATGGTTTTCCAGAATCTTTTAGGGTCATTTAGATTTTTGGAGGTCTGAGATAAGAAAGAGTTGTGTTTTGCGGCTTTGACAGCAGTTGTGCATTTATTCCTCATCTGCCAAAAACTCAACCAATCAGTGTCTGAACCAGATTTTCTCGCTGCGGCCCAAAGATGGTCTCTCCTGTGCAGGAGGTCAGCTAGCTCTGGAGTAAACCAGGGGCTGCCTCGTCCCTTTATTCTGAACTGAAGAAAAGGAGCATGTTTGTTCACAAAATAAATGAAACTATTATGAAAATAATAGTTTAAAATAAATCAGGATATTACGACAACAATAGACAAGGAGGAGATGTAAGAAGGCAGCAGACCAAGAAATGATTTGAAGATGAAAATGTACCAGTGAGAGAGTCTGCATGAAGTTAATAATGACCAGTTAAACAGTGAATACAGGGTGCAGTGATGGGTACGGTAATTACAGCCAGTTTTGAATCTTAGTGAACCATGATAGGCAGCATCCAGCTAATAATAAGTTAAGCTAAGTATAAGTCGCATCAGTCCAAAAATGTATAATAAAGTGGAAAAAAACATAAATGCGTCACTTCGCCATATAGGTCGCATTTATTATGTGTCACCGCTGACCACCCGGAAACATGGGCCGGTGTTGTGCCAAAAATTGATTGGCTGTCAAATGGCAGCCGTGGGAGCATGCTCGGGAGGACTTTAACAAGGATTTAACAAGATTAACACTTAAAAAAAAAAAAATTTGTTTGCTCAACATTATAGCAAAGGTGTATCTCAGTTGAACTTTTCTTTAATAAATGCACTTTATTGGTCAAATCAGCTGCATTTCACCTGTGCGGCGTGGCAAAATGCAGCTGGTTAGACATTTGCTACAAGAGTTTTGGAGCGAGATGAAGCTGGCCTCTGTGGCAAGCCAGGTGTCTCGTTAAAAGCCACTTTTACCTATTAACGAGACACTTGGCTTGCCATATTACTCAAGTGCCCTCTAGCAGCTGAAAATGGTAGTGTTCAATATTTTCCATGTCAGAATGAGTGAAATCATCAGATCTCAGCCAAAAATTGAGTTATAAATATGGGGGGAAAACTTATATTATTCGCTTAGTGTATAAGTTGCAGGACTTGCAAATTTATGAAAAAAGGTGCAACTTATACGATGAAAAATACTGTAAATGTTTTACTGGATGTCTCATTGAAAGCCTAGCAGCAATTTTTCCAGATATCCAATAATTACTGTTTATATAGGACAGTTCTTTTGATCAAGCTTCTCCCTTTTTGTGCTTCTTTGCCAGTCACAGCACACACTATATTCATTTGTCTAAAGGGCTGCAGAGAGTTAAAAATCTGACCTCCTTCACTGTTTAAAGTGGATTTTTCTTAAGTTTGAGAAAGCACTATTTATGTTAGACAATTTGTTTTTATTACAAATCTTTGGATAATTGTCCAGCTTTAATGTTTTCTACGCCATAGTGGTGTTTTGACTACACATCATATCCATAATCTGATGTTAAAAAAGGCATTTAAGAAGCATGTGAAGTTTTCTAATGTTACCTGAGGACAAATACTGACTTGAAGCATTCAGTTCCAGTCCCAACGTCAATGGCCTTTTAGTTGCCTGCTCACATACAAGCTTCTTTCTTACTGAGAAAAAAAAAAATCTGGATATCCTGGATGAGTGTCTCACCGCATACAAATGTGCTTGAAGGCGACACTTAGCCAACAGAAGTGGATTAACCTTCATTCTGTGCATCTGCTGTGATTTAGCTTACTGCCTTTATATGTAAAGACATGCTGATAAGCACTTTGCTGTACTTTAAATACAATATATATAATAAAATGTTCAAAACAATGTGGGGTACATTTTTTTATTTTTTTATTAGGATGAGTAAAATGTAAGTTGCTGTCAGCTGTAGTGAAATATTATAAGCTTATTAGTCTGAAACTCATTACATCTTATTTTTTGGAATTAAAGATAACATATTATTTATATGTGTAGTCTGATTTATTTTTTATTTTATTGTATTTTGTGGCTGGACTTTGCATGTGAAGCAAAGAGAGTTAAAGACCATAATGGGCTTAGTGAGTCTACGTTGAAGCCAATAGGAGTTGGTGCTGCTTGTGCCTGGTGGCCTGATGGTAAATGGAGCAGACCGCTCTCAGTGCCCTTTGACCTAATGTTTCTGGCAAAAGGCTCTTGAGTGTCAGTTGTTTCGATCTAGGCAGAAATGCTAAAATAAAGTGAACATCATATCAGAAAAATATTCTCCTTGACCTTGGTCAAAAACATTCTTACAATGACATTTGCGAATCTTAAAAATATATAATGTGTTGAAATATAATTTATTTTCTAAATATCTGATGGTCTGAGTATGAATAAGTCTAGGTTGAATTAAAAATGGTCAATAGGAGTAAATTTTTAGGGAGGAGAAAGGCAAATAAGCTAACGGCCCAATTCAAGTATTTTATTTTATTTTTTGCATGTTTCTCTTATTTTTATATGTTTGCAAGTCATCAACATTGATCATAATAATAATTTAAGACTTTGAAATTTTTTTTTTTTTGTATAGATTCCATTAAAATAAAATAAAAATATTAAAACAAATAAACCAAAGGAATATTGATGTCAATTTATTTCTATAGCACATAAAAACAACAAAATCTGACCAAAGTGTTTTACAATTACTGTTAGTCCAATTTAAAAGAGAAAAGTAAATAAATAAATGACTTAGCCAACCATCAGTAAGTCTTCAGGTATTTTTGTGGAGAAAAGTAATATATATTAAAATGATGAATTATAAACGTAAAGTTATGTAGGTTAACTGAATGTGTCAAAAAGACATAGGTAATGACAAAAAATGCTAATAAAATAAAATATCACTATCTTTAATCAAGACAACACACAGACACATACACTTATATTTTTTCATTATTATAAAGGGATACGAAATGACCAAATCACTTTGACTAGTTTCCTGCAGATAACAATGGCAGATGCAAATTAGTACACATGACATTTCTAACATGTTTTTTTTTTCCTTCTAGCAACTTGACAGATATTTAATTAGCTTCTCCTAGCAATCAGTCAATCTGTGTTAAAAATAAGTAACACATCATCAACACATAAGTTATTAATGTTTTGTCGTGGCACAATAACTATCTGTTAAAATCTTCTTTCAGCTTTTCCACAACGAGTGATCCTCTTCCGTCTCTGTCCTCTGCATCCTCTGTCCTCACTCCAACTACCTCCATGTCCTCTCTAACTGCATCCATATATCTTCCTCTTTGTCTTTTCCCTGGCAGCTGCATTTCTAACATCCTTCTACCAGTATACCCACTGTCCCTCCTCTGGACATGTCCAAACCCTCTCAGTCTGGTCTCTCTAACTTTATCTCCCAGTTGTTCAACCTGTGCTGTACCTCTGATGATCTCATTCATATTTCTTCTCCAGCCTTTTCTCTCGTAAGGAGAACCTGAACAACTTCATTTCTGCCACTTCCAGTTCTGTCTCCTGTCTTTTTGTCCATGTCTCTGTCTTCAGACCATAAAACATAGCTGGTCTCACCACTGTCTTGTGAACTTTTCCTTTGACCTTTGCTGACACCCTTTTGTCACAAATCACTCCTGAAACTTTTCTCTATCCACTCCATCCTGTCTCAAATCTCTTTTTCACCTCTTTACCACACTCACCATTTTCCTGGACAGTGAACTCCAAGTTCTCGAAGTCCTGCACCTTTGTGACCTCTGCTCCTTGTAGCCTCACTGTTCCACCGGCCTCCCTCTCATTCACACATGTACTCTGTCTTACTACTACTTATTTTCATTCCTCTTATTTCAAGTGCATACATTCACCTCTCCAGGTTCTCTTCCACCTGTTCCCTGTTCTCACCACAGATCACAATGTAATTTGCAAACATCATAGGCCATGGGGATTCCTGCCTGACCTCATCTGTTAGTCGGTCCATAACCAGAGCAAACAAGAAGGGGATCAAAGCCAATCCTTGATGCACTCCCACCTACACCTTGAATTTGTCTGTCACTCCTACAGCACATCTCACCACTGTCCTGCTGTCCTCATACATGTCCTATACAAGTATCTCATACTTCTCTGCCACACCAGATTTCCTCATGCAATAACACACCTCCTCCCTCGGCACCCCTGTCATATGCTTTTTCTAACAAAGACACAATGGAGTTCTTTCTGATCCTCTCTGTAGTTCTCCATCAGCATTCTCAAAGCAAAGATGGCGTCTGTTGTGTTTTTTCTAGGCATGAAAACATGCTTCTGCTTGCAAGTTGTCATCTCCAATTTTTTCAAATTGTGACAGAAAGCATTACAAGACAATCTCAGGAGCAGAAAAAAGGAGTGCAAATTCCTTCTCCAAAATCTCATGTAAATATGATCATTTAGAGAAGTGGAGTCTATAAATAGTTTCTCTCTGTTCTTCTCTTTAAGCAGCTCAGTGATAGTGTTGTTGCTGAAGACAAGAGCAGCTTCTAATTGGCCAGTTCAATCTCCTCATTCGAGGCGCACAGTTGCTCTCTGTCTCACTCTCTGTTTCTTTGCTTTGACTGATGCCCATTTCCCTCCAATCTCTGCAGGGCTGCATGAGGCGAGGAACCAATAGCATGTCAGGGAGGGTGGAACTGGGAGCCGTTGGCCAGCTTCAGGCAGAGATGTTGCATTTGGAGCTTATCGACGGTGCCGACAGTTACCACGGCGATAAAGAGTCCTCAAAGGCATCATCTGTTGGCCCCTCAGCAGTCACCAAGGAGCCTGCAGCATCTACCACCATGGACACTTACCGGCCCAAGAGACCTACGACGCTTAATCTCTTTCCAATCGTGCCACGCACACAGGTATTGTCTGAATTAACCTTACTGACACACAAGCACAGTTTCTGATAGAAAGCTGAATACTGACACAAACGAATCATATTATTACAACATATAATTTCTGTATGTCTTCCTTTTTGATTTATTTTTCTTAGACAAAATTGCTTTTGTTCTTTTTTTAATGGAAAGAAAAATCAAACTGACAAAACCACTATTTAGCTCCAGCTGTTTTTCTGACAGGATGTGCTTTCTGGACTGAACAATCGCTTCAATTGTCAAGAAACACATTGTTTTGTTTTGTTTTTGCCCTTGGTGCCCGTCTCTGTTTGTGCTTACATACTGCCAAAGCTTGCGACTCTCTGGTTTCACCCAATATGTTATTATATGTTAGAACTTAAAGCAAGAATGAAGACATTTTGTCTACAAAGTGTGGTTTAGGTTCACCTTTAAGACTTACCTTGCATTTGAGGTTTAATGTTTCAGAATCTGATGTTTAGAATAAATGCATGTGCAAGACAGAGTACAGTAAACATGAAATAAACATTTCCTTTTGTTTTCTAGAAAAACACATTAGATCAAATAAAGTGACAGCCTTATTCAAATGAGAATGTGCAGATATTTGTGTCCACAAATATTAGAAATCAATGAAAAATAGAATAGTTTTCATCTGGTTAGGTTTAGGCTGCAACGATCCAGACTTTAGATCAGTCAATTTTATTTTTAATTCAACCTTTATTTATACAGGCTAACCTCATTGAGCCACGGGAACTCATTTGCAAGAGGGACCTGTTCCAGACATAACATATAAAGTACAGCCAACAATAAGAATAAACTACAGTAAAAATGCAGTTAAAATAAGAGTAGTGTACACAACAGTAAATCAGGGTGCCATAAAACAGGATGAAATAGTAAAAACAAGAACATATTTGCTTTGATTTTTCTATTGACATTATCAAATGTTTGAAACCCCTTAAAGAAATCAAGGTGGACAACTTCAGTTCTTGTTGCAAGGTGTTCCAGGTTGCAGGAGCTGAGTAGGAAAAGGCCTTTTTTGCCAAGCTCTGTCCACCATGAGTGGACGCTGCAGGTAATGATGGCCCGAGAGCGCATGTTGTAACTGCACTGATGACATGACATGTGGGAGGAGATATAAGAAGGTAGCAGACCAAGGAGGGATTTATATATGAAAATGAACCCGTGTGAGAGCCTGTGTGTAGATAATGATGACCAACTGACCAAAGAGTAGAGGATGCAGTGATGGGTATGGTAGTTACAACCAGTTATGAATCTTAGTGCCCCATGTCAGACAGCATCCAACATCTGCAAGGAGCTGGCAGGAGCAATCATGTAAATAATGTCCCCATAGTCAATGGCTGATAGGAAGGTAGTGGTTACAAGGTGTCTTCTGGCATTCAGAGTTAATCAAGATCTATTTCTGAAAAAGAAACCCAATTTTAAATTCAGTTTCTTTACCAAGTTTTCAATATGTGGTTTAAAAGAGAGCTGCGGATCGACCAAAATTCCTAAGTATTTTTAAGAATCTGCAAACTCAATAGGAACACCATGGGTGGAAAAGATAGGAGAAAGAGTTGCTGGCACCGACTTTCTGTTGGAAAACATCATCCCTTTGGTTTTGTCAGCATTTAGCACCAGCTTGAGGTGGAATAAGTCTGTCTGAATGATGTCAAATGCAGAATGTAGAAGCTGGAAAGCCTTGGCAAATGATTTAGCTCAACAACAAGCAACAGTGTCATCGACATAAAGATGCAAGGATGTGTCAGTGATGTTTAGACCTACATTATTTATATAAATTGTAAAAAGAGCAGGACCTAAAACTGAGCCTTGCAGCACACCATTGGTGACAATTAGGTAGCTAGATGAAGTACCATTATGCCGAATACTTTGCCTCTGACCTGAGAGATAGTTTGAGAACCAGCCAACAGTGTGATCTGAGAAGCCAATATCTGAGAGCTTGTGGCATAAGATGTCATGATCTGCAGTATCAAAGGCTTTGGACAGATCTAGGTAAAGTGCAGCACAGTAGCGTCCAAAGCTTCAACAACATCATTAAAAACCTTTAGCAAAGCAGTCATTGTGCTATGTTCCAATAATTCTCAGTTGGGTCATCTGGACAGTTTCTTTTTTATAGAGACGTTTTGCCCTCTATCCGGATGGCTTCATCAGTCAGAGGAGTTCCAGTAAACTGTTTACCCACCAAGCAGTTTGCTGGCTAACATTCATGTATGAAAGAAACTACTTGTCCTGATACATGCTCAACAATTCAGGTAGATGCATCTAACAAAGTTAAGTCAGATCCTCTGGACAGATTCTTGTTGAAACGTTTCATCTTTAATCCAAAAGACTTCGTCAACCTGACGAAGACTTAAGCCAAAGATGTAACATTGTTAGAAACACTACTTGGTTTGTTAGTATGGTATATTTTCTGAAAATAATGGTACAAGTCATGTTTTGTGGTGATTTATTGAAAAAGAAATAAAGAAATATGAAATAAAGAAATAATAAGATTTGATGCTATATAGATTGCAGCAGTTCCAGCAAAGCTCAATGGGTCTGCAGGGGTTGTGGTCCAAACTGGACAGAGCGTAGAGTTTATTAGGTTTACAGCTGTGTGGCTCTTGATGTGTGCAGTCCCAAAGCAAAAGCCAATCAGTCTCTCCGAAGCTCTTACGATCAGCCATGAAGCCAGAAACACACAATGACCTAGCTGACCCATTACCAAATGTCTTAAGATCCAGCAGTCAAAATAAAACTTTATTTACAAGTACCGGTAATCACATATTTTCATTCATAAGGATTTTTTTTTTTTTTTTTTTACAATTAGCACAAACATACCAAAGTTGTTGTTTTTTGAGTCAACAACTTGATGTAGTTTTTCATTCAGATTTTTTTTTCTTTGTGTGATTTTTTTGGCAATATTTTTTTAATCCAAGACAGAGATGCTTTTGTGGAGTTTATCAGACCTTCTGTTTGACACGTGACCCATGGGGCATTGTTTACAGTGGACTCCAACTCATTTTCTAGCAGCACAGTTTATGAACATGACCACCCAGTTCTATATTTACCCAGTTTCCATTAGACAGAAGCAAGACACTCTGATTGTTTGTCCTTCCTTTTGCACATCTGTGTGTTGTGTGAGCTGCCAGAGCAACACAATAAAAACACACTGTAGCTGTTTAAAAGTGTTTGTCTTTGTAAGTCTTTATGTCCAATTGTTTTCTCTTCTCCTGCATCAACTGCAACAAGTCTACTACATATTTGTTTAGCTATCTATCTATCTATCTATCTATCTATCTATCTATCTATCTATCTA